AGAGCCTTAGAGTCGCGGCATCTCTTCAGAAAGGTGAGAGACTCGATTAGTTGAGCCTTCTTATCCCGAAGTCTGTTGAATGATCTTAAGGATGTGTGGAATCCCTCCCCGTAGAGGCGGTTAAATTTCGATTTAAAGCTTTCGTGACTGCAATGATTCATCTTCTTTGGTTCTTTCGGTAAAGTCACGTAGAATGAGAATAAAATAATAAATTGAAGAAGATGAATCATTGCAGTCACGAAAGCTTTAAATCGAAATTTAACCGCCTCTACGGGGAGGGATTCCACACATCCTTAAGATCATTCAACAGACTTCGGGATAAGAAGGCTCAACTAATCGAGTCTCTCACCTTTCTGAAGAGATGCCGCGACTCTAAGGCTCTTTGTTCCTCTCACACAGCTTAAAAGCCGTGATCTGAACGTGGCTCTCTCACTCCAGCGCTGTCCTACCAGACAGTCTCGCTCCCTTCACCTGATGAAGGCCGCTTGTGTTGTGGCCAAAACGTCGTGAGAATATTATTGTGTTATTTTATTTTATCAATTTATTATTTTATTCTCATTCTACGTGACTTTACCGAAAGAACCAAAGAAGATGAATCATTGCAGTCACGAAAGCTTTAAATCGAAATTTAACCGCCTCTACGGGGAGGGATTCCACACATCCTTAAGATCATTCAACAGACTTCGGGATAAGAAGGCTCAACTAATCGAGTCTCTCACCTTTCTGAAGAGATGCCGCGACTCTAAGGCTCTTTGTTCCTCTCACACAGCTTAAAAGCCGTGATCTGAACGTGGCTCTCTCACTCCAGCGCTGTCCTACCAGACAGTCTCGCTCCCTTCACCTGATGAAGGCCGCTTGTGTTGTGGCCGAAACGTCGTGAGAATATTATTGTGTTATTTTATTTTATCAATTTATTATTTTATTCTCATTCTACGTGACTTTACTGAAAGAACCAAAGAAGATGAATCATTGCAGTCACGAAAGCTTTAAATCGAAAAATAACGACGCTCTCCAAAGCGACAAACAGAACTGTGTAGATGTGTGGATATGTGCGATGGAGCTCGCTGTGAGCAATGACAAGTGTTTTCCGAGCGAGCTAATGATGGGAACACACAAAACAATTCCGAACTTTAACTGGCATCAGTGGCATGCTGGCAAATCACCACTTTCATCAACAGCCTCAGAGGCTATATCAAAGTATGGGTTGTGGTTGAAAATCTTTAATTATTATTATTTCCATTATTATGAAACTGGCACTTATTACGGAATAATATGGTACATTTATACATCGTTCTCTTTCAAAGCTCCTCGTACTGTATCAACGCCTGGAACACTCATGGCGGGGGACACAACAACAGTGCTTGCTGTTTACATGTGCAGCTCGTATTGTCAATCCACTGCTGGATGAGGGCCTCTCCGCACCGTGCGGGTCATGGCGTTGATTAGATCACGCTGGTCATTGTGGGTTTTGTGAAGGCAGGGAGGCATAGACGTCGAAGAATAGTACTGTAGAACAATGTGTTTTTTCTGTACTGCCCTCTGATGAAACACATGGGCCTGTGGCCAGTAAACATTGGCAATTTCCGAAAGTTGCACTGGGAGGGGAAAACACTCGGGTTTGAACAGTTTAACACGTAGTAGGCTTTCGCAATTAGCAATGTTTGTCACGTGCACAAAACGTGCCTATTAGTTATTACTTCAGCAAACCGGTGTGTTGGAGAGTAAACCCACAATATTTACAAATCGAGTACGACGTTTCGCTGGTAATTACAACCAGCTTCATCAGGCGATTAGCCAGAATTGTGACGTCTTCCTGCTTCGGTCTTAAATAGAGTAAATGTGATTTCATTCATTACTGTGAGCCTATCAACTTTGATACGTGTTGGTGTGGAGAACAATGAGAACTGGACCATTATTATGATTATTTAACCAAGCCAAATTGTGTGGTGGAGGCACATTTCAGGACATTTCAAGTGCCATGAGCTGTCGCTACGTGTCACTCGCCATGAGCCGCCAGGATATTAAACAGTAACGGCTGCAGTTGCAGGGTGGTTCAGAGATAATAGCCGTGGCAGAGCAGTGAGGCAGCACCACCAAGGTCCTGGGCTCAAATCTCACGCTACCAGCTGAGTTAAATCCATGTTCTTGTTAAATGAGTTGACGTGTCCAATCCATATTGGCACAAAGGCTGTACAAAGATAGCCATTATAAAAAAACTAGTTTTGTCCTGAAACTAAATCGTGAATTTGACCTTCTCTAGCTCTAAATTATCCACCGAGCCGAAATGGAGGAAGCCACGCACTTGTTTAAGCTGTGGAGTGCATATTAGTGTTTGGGTAAGATAAAGTATAAGTTACTCTGTGGTGAAATACTGGCTTTGCTGCGTGAGAAATATTACCATTTCACAACCCATTTAAAACGACAACATACGAACACAATACAGTGCAGTATTCAATGTGTACATACTGGACATTCATATTGACTTTTACTCGACTGCAGAAGTAAAATGGTGGAATAGTGGTTCTGACGCTGCGCTATATAAATCTGGCAAGCGGAGTTATACTCCTGGCCACGGATAGGAGTGGCGATTAATATCTGATCCAGTCCTGATTGGCACGCCTTTCACAAACCTGTACTGAGCAGCGTGGTTAACTATGGTCAAACAACTCCTGTGCCAAATGGGGCATCAGGAGGTCTTCATCCAGCTGTGAAATTAATGAGCTGTTTTTTGATCCTAGAAAAAGCATTACTTGGTCCCAATATACATTTTTAGGATGGTCATGCTCTGTAAAATGTTGCCATTACTTTTCGGTCCGTGCTTTCTGCAGTGGAATCATCAAGTAATCACTGATGAATTATTTTAAAAAAATCCTGTGCACGATAGGATCTATTCTTTACTGAAGTAACATTTCACAACAATGGATATTTTGTTCATAAAGGCGGTATAAAATATATTTTTGGTTAAATATTACTTAAGTCAAACGGCTTCGCCTGCACACGATGTATGTATTGGTAGTGTAACAACACATTGTGTCCCCCAATTACATACGCAGGATCCCAATGGGCACATCACACGCAAAATATTTAATTGAGAGGCAATGGCAATGCAAAGTGCCCTGACATATTGCTTGTTTGAGCAGGCACACAACTGCAATGTGAATTTAACACTGTGTAGGCTTTCGCGACCAATATTATGATTCATAGTTGTTTTTTTGGGTCACATCGCCTAATTAAAACGTGCGTCGTGAACCCTTCTCCAATTCTGGAAACTGCTTGATGATGCTGGTTGTAACGACCAGTAAAATCTCGTAATCAATTATTAAATGTTGTGCTCTGCTCTCTTCCATATCCGTATGCTCAAGCAGGAATAAATTGCCACGATTGTCCACGTGACAACTTTCTTAATTGGCTGCGTCAGGTGGTGGAGGGTGTATGACGCACATTTTATTAATGCGATCCGACCCAAAAATCTATTATGAATCAACTTAATTCTGATTTTAATTCCGTTGTAATTGTGCTTAAATAATCACCCCAACACCTCCACAATGTTGATAATTTCATGGATGTTTTAATTGCTTGCCGCCCACATGCGCCTTCTCAATGCAGTAATATTTGCGTGTTATCCAATCATACCTTTAATAAAACTGATCATTGGTAATCTATTTCTGTAAATACTCGGGATAGCATAGCTTCTAATGATATTGCGGTCAGAGCATGCTGTCTTAACAAAGATCCCACCCTTGCGTAGCGTTTAACAGACTACTGGGGCAAGTGCTTTTCACAAGTAGCGCCCATAAAGGCCGGAACACCACACTCGGGAGTGGTGGTGGTGGTGGTTATCACCACGGCCGGCCGCCGCTGTCTCCCCGGCATCTCCCCGACACAACACCACCGCTGCCTTAACAACAACGGACGTTCGCCACCTAGGGCGGTGACATCACCACAGCGCTTGTGCCAGGCTTGGTGCACTTTGAGGCCAAGTGAAGTGTCGCAGGCTCCCCTGCTTGCAGGTCATCTGCGCCGGTTTGAAACATTCAGGCTGGCTTGCCTACGAGTCATCAGGATGGATTGTGCGAGGAGCTCACAGATCCTTGAAATCTTTGGACACAGACCCATAAAACCAAACGAACTAAACTATATAGATATTTTTTAATTTTACCAGGTAAGGCCCAGAACCGGCATGGCCACAAATAATAGCTCAACGAAGTCGCTTATCGAGTGTAAATGTATACCAGTGACGATTACACGCACCGCCCCTGGACTTCGTATCCCGATGGCGACTCGACCTCGAATGGTTTGGGGTGCGTATGAAACATTGTCGCAAGGGAGACAAAAGCGGTCGGGCGTGGTACCCGGCCACCCACCCCCTTCACGTGCCAGCCTTCACGTGTCGTGCCACCCCCTTCGCGTGCCACCCCCTTCACGTGTTGTGCCACCCACCCCCTTCACGTGCCGTGCCACCCCCTTCGAGTGCCGTGCCACCCCCTTCACGTGCCGTGCCACCCCCTTCACGTGCCGTGCCACCCACCCCCTTCACGTGTCGTGCCACCCCCTTCACGTGCCAGCCCCTTCACGTGCCGCCCCCTTCACGTGTCGTGCCACCCCTTTCACGTGTCGTGCCACCCACCCCTTCACGTGCCGTGCCACCCCCTTCACGTGTCGTGCCACCCACCCCTTCACGTGCCACCCCCTTCACGAGTCGTGCCACCCCCTTCACGTGCCGTGCCACCCCCTTCACGTGTCGTGCCACCCACCCCTTCACGTGCCACCCCCTTCACGAGTCGTGCCACTCACCCCCTTCACGTGTCGTGCCACCCACCCCCTCCACGTGCCGTGCCACCCCCTTCATGTGCCACCCCCTTCGCGTGCCGTGCCACCAACCCCCTTCACGTGCCACCCCCTTCGCGTGCCGTGCCTGCCTTCATCGGCGCGCGGCTGCTCAGGTCGACGTTGCCCCCACAAGGTGACTTTTGAAAGAGTTTCGTGTAAAAAAATAAAGTGCTTGGTGGTGGAGGCCGAGGAATGGCGCCGTTGCGAAATCGGGGATCCCCGTGACGTCACAGAGGGGGGGGTTTAAAGGACTCGCCGGAGACGTCACAGCAGAGAGACGCGGGCCGGGAGCTGGGGGCTACCACGCACCTGGTCCACCGCGTGCGAACGAACGAACGAGCACTTTTAGTGAACTCGTGTGTCGGGTGGTTTGTTTAATTGTTAAACTTTGCCTTTTTAGTTTTTAAGAGATAAACCATGGAGAGGTTGAATTTTTCGGCACGCTGCGTGAGGAGGAGAAGACACGACTCTCTCTACAAAATGGGGTTCTTCTTGCTGTTGTTTGCGGTAAGAGATTCCCCTCTTACACACACACTTTATTATTAATACTGACTGTATCATCATCGTCAAGTATAGGGTAGTGAAAGTTCCTACATCTTCTCTGAAATGTACTCGCGTAACTCAACAAGTTGTCGCGATTTAAAAACAGCTTAAAGGACACGTTTTAAATACCATTGTTAAAGCTTACAGTCCGGATTTGTGTACAGATGTTTTTTTGTGTGTGACGGTGCAAAGTTCAAGGCGTGGTATTGTAATTGTTGATGAGGCAGCATTTGTAACTGAACTCTTCTTAAACACCATGGAGTATCACACCACTGCGCACTTATTACAACATTCGGTTTCCAGGTTGAGGTTAGACGGCGCTGGTGAGGTATGGTCAGTCAACCAGCACGGCGTTCGTAGTGGCTGGGAGGCATTCATCCAATGTGGCCTGTAATCGTCTCGTAAATGATCTTGTTTATCGTGGCTTGATGTTGATGGAACAAACGACACACACGCATTCTTGTTTGTCTTGTGACTTGTACTTGATCCCCAAAGACTCGAAATACGTATACAGTACGAACATTTGCAGTGTGGTCCAGACGTCTCGTGACCCTACCCCCCCCCCCAATTAATTGACCCCCCCCAACGTTTGTTTTTCCCCCCTTTGAACATTATTTTTTCTTTTAAATTAACACTGCTTTTAAAAACACAAAATAAATTCATTACGTTTATAGAGAAATGTGGGTCACGAGACATGTGGACCAGCCATGTGCACCGGACACTGCATACAGTCCATGGAGCCGACACAACAACACTGTTGGAGCAACCACGCCCGTCCGCCTTTGTCTTCCACACACCGTACTTTAAGGGCTGTAGCCAACTCCGCTGATAGGTTTTCCGGATATCGGGCGATCCCCACTGATGCTGTCCGTGTCCGGGCATCGAAAACCCTTTGGTTATAATCGGTGCGCCATCGCTTCACTTCAGCACAACCACCACCTTACTAACAGTTCTCTACCGACAAAGACAAATCAAAAGTTACCCCCCCCCACTACCATCATCATGTTGGGGGGCAAGTGCTGTCAGCGAGTAAGCACCTATGAAGGCCGGCACCGTACACGAAGGTGTGGGTGACCAACAACCACGCCCGGCCGCCTTTGTCTCTCCCTATTGGCGATGTGTAACACCAGGTAGTCACTTGAGGACCGGTTCAGATCATCGTCACTGGTGGTGTTGTGCCGTGGGCGGCGGGGGGGGAATCCAACTCGGATGGCAGGGTTCGTATCGCAGTGGGCTCATAGCAAAACTCGACTCTGCGTACATATTCAGTTTACACCACACACGTGGACTGTGATGTACGCGTGTGTGTACAGCGCGGTACATAATAAAGTACTGAGCATAAGTACAGGATTGCACGTGTGCTGCATGTGTGTACAGTACGTATAGGTGTGGAGCGGTGGCGCAGTGGTCATGCGCACCGCGAGATTATTAACCCCGTCCGGGGGCTGGATCGGTTCCCAATCACGGCTAACGTCAGTGGCCAAGTGACACCGTGTCTGAACCCGTCCCGGGGATCTCCCACAACCCCTTCTATCAAGCCGCACTGACCTGAGCGATGAAGTATGGTCAATCCCGACGACCAGCACGACGTCTTGGGGAGGGCCTTCATCCAGCTGTGGACTAAGGGGCTGGGAATTAAAATGTTATTGAAGCGCACATCTTCTGCTGTGTACAGAACGTGCACATTTACATCAGTACCGGTGCTCGTTGTGCACGTACACATGCAGTGAACCTAATCGTGTCCGCGTACAGCACATGCGTGTGCACAGATAAGGCGAGATAATTGTCGACGGAATAACACGTGTCCTTTAATTTACTTGTGTGTGTGTGTGCTACGTGCTGTTGGTGGTGTAAACTTCACATTCCTTTGGCATGAATCCTGTCAACTTGAATCGATCTTACTCTCTAGTGTCTCTGCAACTTTCAATAGGGACTTCCCATCGAACGGTACTTATTTCACTCACCCTGGAGGGTCTCGATGATCATTATGATGATTGTGAAGAGGCTGTTACTGCTAACCCCTTGTTGGAACTAAAGCACATTTGCGTTGTACCCACGTCTGCATCCGGCTTGTCATATGCTGTATCACTGCATGTACGTGTGTGTAAATGCTTTAGTTCATCGCTTATATATTATCATTATTAACTAATGTACACTTACGATCATCTCCCAAAAGTTTTCCTTGAGATGAATGTTGTTCAATGAGCACTTTGTTGGTTGTATTTAAAAGCTCACTATGCAGTAAGTGCGAGCAAAGGTCATCAAAGTGAAACCACCGAGTTCAAATTAAAAGTGATTCTGCTTCATTATTTCAATTTCTATTCGATGTCCAAAAAATACCAAAAAACTACTGTCACACAGGTAAACTGAACGGATTATTGATTATTGTTGTGTAATGGTTTGCAAAACGAAAAGATACAACACAGACACAGGGGCACACTTGGCTAAAGCGGCGCTGGTATATTTTTTTAGAACATTTATTATTCTTGTAACAAACTAATAATTTGTTACAATTTTAATAAGCCTTTAATGATTTTTTTAATTGCATGAAAATCGACGTAGCCAACCCAGCGTTACGCACAGCCTACAGTGTCAGGCGTTAGGTACAGATCACCAAAACTGTGTGTACGGTAGAGCAGCGGTCTTCATTGCAAGGCCCGGGGACCACTGGCGGCCCCAAGTGGCCTTTAGTGCGGCCCCTGATGTGTGGCCCCTGACAGTACACAAATGTGAAAACACTCCATCATCATGCTGCTGTCAAACCCCAATGGTTTCAAGTGTGTGGCGGCCCTCACATTAGTGATGTCTCATCGGCGAAATTGGCCCCCTCTGAAAAGTAGTGAAGAACACTGGTTAAGAGTATATGACCGATTGGATTTCCAGACCAATATCAAATTTGTTTGAAGCGAGCAAAATCTGTACAGTTTTTTTACCTCCTGAAATCTCATCAGCAGTGAGGTTTGTTAAATAAATGCTGCTTTCTGGATTATATCGGTCTGGAAAGCTAACAGGCTGATTGAAATCTAATTACTTTCTCTGTGGATACAGAACAGAGGTCTGTTTTTATGGAATTCAACATGAAGCGCCACCAAAGTGCATTTACAAGTGTGTATACAGTATTGTATTTAGAAATGCAGTAGTTACAGTATTTGAAGTCAAATTAACTCTGGTGTATATTGCCGTGTTTCAGGTTGTGGCATTAGCCATGGTGTCAAGGACCTCAACGTGCAAACAGGAAATTCAATACAAGTTTCAGGACCATTGCTGTCCCCTCTGCCATATTGGTATGTGTCAGTTAATGATAAAAATAAAACATTGTACAATTATGCTGATGAGTGGCATGCCAATTGTTTAAAATCAATGCCATACAGTTAGCATCATTGGTTAATAATCTGATGCTGCACAAGTTAGTGTTCCTGTAGATTTCTGGGTAGTACATTTGGGTATTGTACATTAAACACATAGACTTTTCGTGACCAATATGATTCATAATAGACTAGATTATATTTTTTGCAACTGCCTGATTATTCTGGTTATAACTACCAGTGAAACGTCGTACCAAATTGTTAAATGTTGTGAATTTCTCTCCAACAGTCCAGTGTGCTAAAAGAGGAATACATCGTCACATTTGTTCACGTGACAAACCTATTACATTGTTGTGCCAGGTGGAGGAGGGTTTATGACACACATTTTACTTACCTGATCTGACCCAACAATCAATTATGAATCATTTGATATTGTACCTTGAACTGGAAAAAAAATGTTTTGAAAGAAATTACAACCCTTAGTGAATTCACTGCTGGTTAAAGGCTTTCTCACGTAGTGTTGGCCATGAGTGTTGTTTGACCATACTTCACCATACTGATAAATGTGGGTTGGTGAAGGAGATGTCCAGGGCCAGTTCCTGATATAACCAGTAATGCTAGCTGTGGCAGGGAAATTTAACACTGCATCGCATGTTTAAGAGTATAATGTGCTAATCACCCACAGTATATAACAGTGCATATGGGTACATTTAATAAACCCCATTACCAATTGACAGTCTTTGAAGTGACATGGGCTCTTAACTCAATGTCCTTTAAGGGTCTATCTTACACAACCGCTGTGCTCCACAACTGTTTCATTTGTGGTTGCCTTTGTTTTGTCAACATTTACATATGTATGTCTTAGAAACAGAGGAGGTAGTTTTGACTTAAAACTTTCATGACCGCAGGAATTCCTATTCTTGGTTCTTTCGGCAAAGTCACGTAGGAAGAAAATAAAATAAAAATAACAGATGAAAAAATGTTATAAAAGAAAAAGATAAATTGAAAATAATAACAGCAAAAAACCCACGACGTTTCGATCGCAACACAAGCGGTCTTTATTTTCTATCTACGTGACTTTACCGAAAGAACCAAGAATAATAGAAGGTAGTATTCAGCATACACAATATGTGCAGCGCATTGTTATTTTTGTACAGCCATTGTTTGGGTGACTGGGTCGGGACTGTCCACTCAATAAACATGAGAACCTAGATTTACCTCTGCTGGCAGCCTGAGATTTGAGCCCAGGATCTTGGTGGTGCCGCTCATGGTGGCACCTGCCCCAACTATTATTTCCTCGAATCGCCCAACCGACTGCAGCCATTATTGTTTAATATCCTCGTGGCTCGTGGAACTTGAGGTCCCCTTCTGAACTGTCTCCGCTACACAGTTTTATTTGCTAAAAATAACAATTTAAATGCTTGCAGAACTCTGATTCTCCACACCAGTGTGTGTCAAACCTCAGTGTTTGCGATCCCACTGGCCCCCTGCAGTGCATTTTTTGCAAATCGGCTTGATATCCGTTGATGGTAATCATGCCTGATGGTTGGTAATTATGGAAATATGCACGGTAGGTTTAAAAACCACATCTCATGTCCACTGGGGGGTTTTCGCGCCTTGGTGGCTGTGCCTTGGCAGCTGTGCAAGATTGGTCTAAGAACGTATCTCCCTAATCCCGTTTTCCTCGCATTTTTTTCTTCCTTTTCTATATTATGTTATTGCTCAGTCAGACACCGCTGTAGACAGTATTAAAAACACGAGTGGATTTATTGAATTGAATAATGACGGAGTCGGAAATATTTTTTAGAGAGTACCGTTTATTTTGTTCAAAACAATGTTGCATTTTCCCCGTTGTAGCAAGTCTTGGCGGCCGTCTGTGCCGGTGTCCGTGTTTCCGTGTTAACGCTCCGCATCTCCACGCAGGCTCTTTCAAGGTACGGGACTGTGAAGCATCGGGCAAGGAGACGGTGTGTGACTTGTGCACTCCAGGAACGTACATGGACGAACCCAACCACTCCGATCGGTGCATGCGATGTCGAGAGTGCGATGCAGGTCAGCACGCACACACACATGCATTTGCGTTCCAAATTATAATTGTGTATACATGGAGTGGCCAAGGGCGCCACGGTGTTATACAGGAGTTTGGGGGTTTGATCCTGACCCTGACGCCTGTATATTTGGGGTTTGCATGTTCTCCCCGTGATCGCGTGGATATTTCTTTGGGTCCTCCAGTTTTCCCCGCCACATTTAGAAACATGGGATTCAGAGAAGGCTGCTATTAATTTTCATACGTTAAGCCACTTAGTTACCTGGTAAAATAAAAATAGTTGAGTTTATAGTTTAGTTTAGACATGGGGACTCCTGGGGTGCTCCCACGGATTTCTAAATTAAAAAACAGCACGGCCAGTCGGCGTGAGTGAACTGACCACATGACCACCCATGTAACATGTGTCTTGTGGCTTATGGCCATGTGAACATTTTAGTATGTGGCTCATAGGGTCAGGCGAGTTTTGCCACTCTGATGTATACAGTCAATGCTTGATTATCTGGGGTATTGGGAAGGGATGACCTGGACAACAACAATAAAAACAACACAGATGATTCATACATGTAAATTAGGTAATAAAAACATGTATTGTTTAAATATGGGGGTGAAGATCTTAAATAATTAATTTTACCTGCTGATGTAATGAGTCACTGATCCTTGAGAGTCAGGAGCAGCTAAAAAGTAAACCAAGGTGCTAAATAAATTATATTTGAAAGGTCTCAACTGTAAAGCATAACAGAGTATATATATACTCGTAATAAAGGTGTTTGGGTGAGGTCGCATTACCCTGTAAATCTTTATTATGAATAATATTGGTCGCAAAAACCTACATGTCAAACAGAGTATACATATGTAGTGACATGGAATGGGTCACTACAGCGTGTAGTGCTGGTTACTGACAGAGTGGAATTGTGGGTGTAGCAGCCGATCTGCCAGCAGAGCATGCAATGCCATGGAATGGGTCACTAGGGTGCGTAGTGCTGGTTGCTGGTAGAGAGAGGGCATCTGAGGACGTAGGAGCCTGGTCGGCTAACAGGGCACGTGATAGGCCGGGGTAAGGAATGTAGGGCAAAGGTGACAGAGGGGACACGTGGGGCAGAGCCCAGAACCTTCTGGTAGGTTCTTCTGGTAGGTGCCGAGAGCAGAGCCAGGCCACACGGGGGGGCATAAAAGGGAGGTCTCAAGGCTGGATCGGGGCTGTCTTTTGGAATGGAGCCCCTCGTTCTACATCTTCGTCTCCTCGGCGTCATGGGTCAGGCAGCGTGCCGGCTGTCCTGACCCTTTGTAGTTATCCCGTGTGTGAACAGAAGTGTTTAAGTGTAGAATAAATGTATGTGCCTCCTACTATTAGTGTCTCGAAGTGACTCACTACACATACATAGGGCAGCAAAATCTGATGGATGAGACCCAGAGGAGAACATGCCAGAGAATAAGACCCACGGAGCGATTGTGGCATCATGAGATAGTGAGGTATTCTAATGTCATGGGAAGGCCTTCATCTTACAGTAGATGGATGATGATGAGGATGTTGATAATGAGGAAAATAATTAACAGTCACCCAAAATACCCCAACAGAAATTGGCCAAACATCCCAATTTTTACTTAACTTGGTAGTCAAGATTGAATCTAGCTAAATTGTGAGCAAAAATCAGTACTATGGAGAAATGTTCACTGATTACAAACACTCGTATTTAAAAAAAGGCAACAAATAGGACAAATGGGAAAATAATTCAGAGAAGAAACGAGCCAAAGTGATTTGTTAGTGTATAGTTGCTGCCTCAAATGGCTAAATATTAAAAACGGATTGCATTGTACAGGTATTCAGTCAAAACAATCAAAATTGTTTATCTCTCAAACATGTTTGGAAATGCATTGTTTACAGCCCTTAACAGTCGTGGAAATTCCACATTATTATCGTGGGGGGGAGGGGGTCATAGAAAGTGGAGACCACCGCTGTTGACTTATCCACAAATTGATACCTCAATTTGTAATCTTCCGATTGTAAGACACCCACTCTGCTGCTGTACCACATTGCAGAATAAGCTGCTATTAACCAAGAGACATGAAAGACGTAGTTTGTCTTGGGAAAATGCAGAACTCAGTGCTGTGCCGAGCCGGGTCCACTCCTTAACGGATAAACCGGTCACCTTTTTCGGAACCGATTTACCATTCTGAAAAAAGTCAGGAACCCAGCCATCGTTGCACTCGGAATTTTAATAATCAATACACTGATTGTCCTCATCTGTCAGATTGAAAGGTAAAAGGGCAAGCATGCAGTTGGTTGTTTGCTCAAGGCATGGGCTGCCTCTGGATTGCATGTCCAGTCTGCTAACCATAACAGAGTGGCACCTCCCTTAGTTTCTCACAAATATGTTGTGTTTGTTGCTAGGCGGCAAACCCTGAACTAGTTTTTTTTGCCTTTTTTTCATGCGGTTATCCAGTAGTGCAAATATGTTCTTTTTTTTTTTTACAAATTTCTTCACTTTGATGTCATCTCATTACCACCATCCCTCCATGTCCATCTTTGTCTCTTTTTCATGTCCTTTTGCCTTCGATATTGTCTGAGAAGGATGCACGGCAGTTGGGCAACCTATGACCTTTTCGCTACGTGTTCACGTTTCACAACGGCTTTAAAAAAAAACACCGAACTGCACCAAAACCTCCAATCTGTTAGCCCTGAGCAAATGCTTCCTCATGAGTCATCGGGTATTATTTTTCAGTCGAGGGCTGATAGTGACTGTGGCTCAGAGTGCTGTGTGCTTTTCTGTGAACACTCACCCTCTTGTGGAAACGTGTGGTCATACTTTAGTATTTGTTAGCATCGGTGTTTTCATTGCTGAAGTAGTGTTGAATGCCACTGCTGACGTTGTGTTTTGCGTTGTAATTTGCTTTGTTGTTAGTTTTTACTTATGAACAAATAATCGTGAATAAGCATTTTCTTGTTGTATCTCAGAGGCCAAGCAGAGTTGACCCTGGTTAGCACTTGGATGGGAGATTACCTGGGAAAACCCTGTGTTGTAGGCTTGGGGGTGAAAGGTCACTCGGTAAGTGGCAAATCAGTCGTGGATTCTTCATGCTCTGTATATGGTGCTTTTAGTGTTATACCCTCGTATGGGTGGTGGGTTTTCTCCACGTAATCATATTGTCTCCCACATGCCAAACTCTGAATGAATTGACCAAATATACCAATCCAGGATCCTCATTGTTATTCTCATTGTTATTAATCCATAAGGAATACGAAATGCACGTGTTATTTGTGTTTTTTTTAAATATATACACATACATTCATGACAAACATTAGTGAGGAGTTTGGGTGCAATTAAATATACAACATTTATTGGGTAGTGATATTTATTAAATAAAAATGTAATGACCTACAAATGTAGGTAACTCATTATACATGCAGGTAACTACTTGAGTAATCATAATAACAACCCCCTTGTATGTATCCAGGAAAACCCTTACTGATTCTCTACACAATTTTTTGTTCAGGAGGGTCACGCATTTGTATGTTTGGTCAATTCCATTAATGAGCGTTGGGCTTTGTGTAGCTGGGAAAACGCACATTCACAGGAGGAGATAATACCGTGGGGTCTCACGCAATTCTCCATACGTGGCTTCACATGGGTGACTTTAACGTTGCAGTTGCTGGCTTCGTCGTGGCGAAGAACTGCTCCAATAAGTTAAATACGGAGTGTCGCTGCCGGGACGGAATGTACGTGAACCCGCACTACTCGGGGATCTGTCTGCACTGCCACACGTGCCAGCAGGGACACAAGACTACACAGCCATGTAAGTTGGAACTACCAGATGCTGTTATCAGCCTCTAACTTACCAGTTTTTGTTGTTGTCAAGTCTGCACAGGGCGGTGGTGACGTAGCCTAACGGTGACATGTTTCTATGGGACATTATTTTTTCCTGTAGAAAAGTATGAAAAATAAGAATAGGTTTTACCCGTTCTGGCAATAAAACAGGCGTTAAGATCTTGATGTGAAGCTTTCGTGACTGCAGGAATCCATACTCTTTGATTCTTTCAGTAGAGTCATGTAGGTAGACAAAATAATAGATCACGACGTTTCGATCGCAACGCAAGCGACCGTCTCTCTCACCTGAAGACGGTCACTTGCGTTGCGATTGAAATGTCGTGATGTATTATTTTGTCTACCTACGTGACTTTACCGAAATAACCAAAGAGTACAGGCGTTAAGATGTAGGAATACAATCTGCATTTACCACCACGTACTTGTGATAAAACATGCAAACAAACATCCTCTGGTAATAAATGCATTGTCTTTGAAACTAATTGGCCTACACCAGAGAAAGCCTTCTTTAGGCCGAGTCTCACCAGTGTCACACCAGAGAACGGCAAATGGCGAAAAGTACAAAGGCAATGCCGCACGTATCAGAGCAGTTATAGCTCGGGTTGATCAGTTATATCTATGGGACCTCTTTTTTGCCATGATCAAAGTATGAAAAATAAGAATAGATTTTACCCTTTATTTAGAGGTATAACACCGTTTTTAAAGACATTGTACTGTACTTACCGCAGAGAACTGTAGCGACTCGACCACACTATATGATAGCCGTTGCCAAACTGTGCCATGCGCCCTCCCATATGGCCTTGTGGGAGCCTCTTCAGGTCGGAAGACGTACCGATAAAGTTATTTTATTTTATAAGTACATCATCGTAATGGGAAAAGGGTAGTGTGTGATCCAAGCTGGAGAGAAGATATGCCGTACACACGATCCAACCCGGAATATCGCACTTGGGACAGAATGACCAATCTGAGTATAATCACTTCTTGCATCTCCACCTGTGCAGGGGCACTTGCTCAAACAGGTTACGATGAACTCGCTGGGCTCAACGGAGGCTGTTTTGTATTTGTGTAAACAGGCACCCCTCTCACAGACACCGAGTGTGCACCTTGCCTCGACGGGGAGTACAGTGATGGACACAACTGCCTTTCTTGCTTAAGGTAAAGTGGAGATATTGGCCAACTCTTGATTATCCTGGGTAATGGGGTGGGAAGGGTGGCGGCCGGGCTAAAAGAACAACATGGATAACGCAAATCCTACGGCTGCGTATATTTTGCGGTTGTGCCGCGTGGCTCTGCCGTGTGTTGTTGGGTTGCGTCGCACGTTTATGGCACGAAGTCCAACATTTTGCTGCCAGTATGAGGATCAAAGCGTCGGACATCGTAATTAACAGCATGCACGTCGGACATCGTAATGAACAGCATGCACGCCCTGATGTTAAACCTCGGCCACATCTGGGCCATTCGTGGACCATTCCCAACAGTCAATGTAACATGGCTTTAGACTAAACTATGAAATCTAATTTCCTGTATACAGTCGGTGTAGAGTCTGCGATAACTTATGTAACAATTCGTATTCATGTTCATTGGACCTTTATTATATGGAGAACATTCGGTTTGTAAACCATGTTGACCTCAGAACATTTGTTTTAGGTGCTGCATGTGATTTTGCCAATATTGTTTACAGGGTGGGTGTGAGATGTAGTCACGGAATGCTTTTTTTATTTCTAAGTGTTTGTGTCTCGGTGAGTCACCATTCATCCTGGCTTCGGAACTAATGGTAATGACAAAAGCCATGCATCAGGAATTGTGCATTGATGTCAAGGGTGATATCAATGCACAATTTGCAGACTCAAGATATAAGAATTAGTCTGAATATGTATTATCACATGATTAAAACATATCCTTCATATAGCCTCGAATTAAACTATTGCATGCATAAGAGATTGCACAATGTTGATAACACTCTTATGACAAAATCACTTGGAATGCACCCAATCTCTTCAGATATTGGAAGCAAAGCTAATCTTCAATCGCATTTGGATGGGTGACCACCATGCACCACAGATTGTTATCGGCTCTGGGGCTACTTGGTGGGCAGTGGAGGGCAAGTACAGCAAAATTAATAATTCTGTAATACTGTGCTGTGATGCGGCAGGGTAGCACAGTAATAATAGGGGTTTTCCCATTTTTTATGATGGAGGGAAGCACAGTGTTAAGGCTCATGCCACAGTAAGAAGGCCCTGTGTTCGATTCCCAGGGCACCATGGTGGTGAGATGTTAACTACCTCGCTTGGTATACAAGAGGTGGTGATCCGGCTTCCCCCCCTCCCCCCCTACATTTATAAACATCCCTTACTGTAAAAAGTTTGACAGGACCCTCCTGACAAAGTGTCTTGAGACTCGGTGATACTTTCCCGAGTAAACAAGCACAATAACATAACAATAATAATGCATCCATGCTCCCTGCCTTCACCAACCCGCACTGACCAGCGCGGTGAAGTGTCGTTGAGCAATCCCCGCGACCAACGTGGCATGGGGAGGCACTCGTTTAGCAGTAGATTGACAAAAGGGCCATACACTTACATAACATTCTCCATATCCACTTTCGGTGCTAAAAGTAGGAGATAATGCTGCATTGGAAAAACCCTTTTACAAATGTGCGCGATTGTCAGTGAGTGTTGTCAGCATAGCGTTGGATAAATGTCAATCATGGCATTCCTTATGCCGGGTGATGGTGCAGGTGCGAAGATCAACACCTGGAGACCGAACAACCCTGTAGACCCAACAGCAATACTCAATGCAAAAGTGAGTGCTGTACATCGACAATACAATGTACATGTTTGTGCCGGTGCTGTGTGTAATCTCCAAAATATAACCGTCTAAAGTAATTTGTGGGGCTAAGTTGTGGGCAGCAAAGGGCAGTGCAGCAAAATCCATTCTTCTATCGTCCTCCCGCCACCTACACTACCCACCTTCCCCGACCCACACTGACCAATGTGGTGAGTACGGTCAAAATAACCCTCGTGATCCGTACGGATTTAGGGAGGGCCTCATCTAAGCATTGGATTGACAAAAGGTTCTGTACATTCATTCGACCAATCGTGGAAGAGTTCTCTCCACTCGGCGACGCTTTCAGGGGAGAGTTAAATTCCAGCGTGTGCACAACAGGGATCTCAGGATCCGCTCGCTGTACTGCCATCTCCTGGCCACTTCATAGCTGGCCACCTCAAAGCGTGGGGTCACGGTGGTTGCGCTGCCGTGCCCGGCTCAAATGTAAATTGCATGGTAACCAGGAGATGGTAGTACTGCAAGTAGGATTCTATTCTCATATGTGTGTGATCCCCCTCCCCCCCAGAGGCGTTTTACTTTCACTTTCAAGAATGCTGGTGAAGGAACTCTGCCAAGCATCTTAGTAACAGGACTTTAAAGAGAATCTCAGGACTCGGTGATGTTTGTTGGGTTAAATAGTAATGTATACGGCCCTTTGTCATTCCACTGCTGGATGAGGGCCTCCCCCATGCGGTGGAGGTTGTGGTCGAATTTTCGACCGTTATTCGTACTGATTAGCGCGTGTTGATGAAGATACGGAGCACAGACGCCGAAGCATAAAAGTAAAATAATGGATTGGCTCCATTGCCCTCTGATAGCCACGAAGTATCTCCATAGCCTATGATACCTGTTATGAATGGTGGTCACCCCCCAATCATTTTCAAGGCTCAACCCTACTTAGCTACTGAGGTCTCATGAGGGTGCATTCCAGGTGATTGGGTCACAGCCTGGAATAAAGGACTAATTCATTATTAATCGTGTGCTGGTATGCATTTGCTGTGTTTCCTCATCAGAGCACTCAAACATGTTGGTGATTGTTGTGACGGTGAGCTTGCTCTGTCTATTCATCGTGATCATTGTGGTCATGTGTATGAAGAAAAAATCTCCCCGCAGTGCCTTCAGCGGTGAGTCCTTTTATTGAGTTTACAATGTCATGCTGCACTAGAAATAATTTAGCGAATGCTGTTTTGCTGCCTTTAACAAGCTAGACTGGGGGCACGATGGTGGGGAGATGTTAACTACCTTGCCTGGTATACAGGAGGTCATAGAGTTTGCATGTTCTCCCCGTGGCCGTGTGGATTCTTCTCCAGTTCCTCCGGTTTGTCCCCTCTACATTTCCAATCAACATGTGTTTAGAGTATTTGGCTGCTATACATTTTCTATATGATGATAAGCCACTTCGTTTAGCTAACATTTGTGGCCAGGTCGCAATTACTCTGTCATGCTGCTTAAAAGAGGCTTGTAAAGTGCATACAATATCCATAGTTTTGTTTTCGGTTAGATTTGCGTAAATATAAATATGTCTTGAAATCTGCCACCACCAGACACAGCCAATTGGTAAGGTTTTTCACGTAAACAAAACATGCCAATTAGTCAATAGTTCACAATACCGGTGTGTTGGAGAGTAAACCCACAATATTTACAATTCGAGTACAACGTTTCGCTGGTAATTACAACCAGTCTCATCAGGCGAAACGCAGAATTGTGGAGAAATCCTCCTGTTTTGTTTACGTGACAAACATTACGATGGGCTGTCGGGTGGTCGCGGGTTTAATGACAAATTTATATTTTATGTGATCTAACCCAAAACTAACCTGTTATGGATAATATTGGTCGCGAAAGCCTACGTGTTAAACTGTGTACTATATATGGGTGTGTCTCGCTTAAATGAGCGAGATACAATCCTCGAAAATTGCTCGATAAGCAAAAACATGTTAAAAGCTGAGCTACGTTTCAGCCCCAAAAATATTTCACTCTGGAACAACTTTTTAAAATCGAAATTACACCAACAGCACAATTTTAATATATCATGTGAGCTTTTTTGCCAGCATCAAAGTATGAAAAATAAGAATAGGTTTTACCCTTTCTGGCAATAAAATAGGTGTTAAGATACTCAAACACCAAATAGATCCATTTTGCAAGAAATCAAGTCTGCACTAACCACACATGCGTGTGACAAACATGCAAACAAACGTCCCGTGATAATAATATATGGCGTTGTCTTTGGAACTGATTGGCCTACACCAGAGACAGCCATCTTTATGGCCTAATCTCACCAGTGTCAGACCAGAGAACGCCAAAAGGTGAACATATGATTGGTAAAGAAGACAATGAGGCAAATAAGGAACACATGGTTTGGCTTTTTTGTTGTAGAAGCCGGGGATTTGACTGCAGAATCTCATCGGTATCGGCTCAATGTTTCAACACAGCCTTGAGCCCTCTTTTAACCACCCAGCCCACCCCAACTAGAGCTTCTAAAAACGTGAACTATGAGTTACTTCGTTGATTTCTATAATCCATTTGACACAATTTCACACACTACCTTCTTGTCTTATTTATTGTCATTAATTTTGTTATATTTGTGTTGCAGATATGTGGAACTGGATTGTGAAACTACTGGTAAAAAGTTACACATTTTTATTTTCTTCTCACGTAAATTACGTATCTTTTACTGTTGGGCTATACAGTCAACTGTAAACATATACAGGTGCGTCTCCCTTAACGAGTGGGATACGTTCTGTGAAAATTCCTTGCTCAGAAAAACTCGTTTTTCCATTGACTCGGAGTTATTACTGTCACAGCAATTACAGTAACAGTGATGTTATATTTTTACATCTTTTTTTAAATGCAGGACTTGATATGGTTCTTGTCCTTTCAGCACAAGTTATGGGCGGTGACTAGTACTGTGGTTACGCCAAATTGTAGGGATGTTAAACGTTAACGCGTATTTGGAAATACATTTTACGCCTGTGCTTGTCTGCCACCAAGCATTGACATTTAAAAAAAGTGCACCCTGAATTTTTGCACTGTAAGCCAGCAGTGGAAAGGATTTGCAGTTGTGTTTTATATCTCAGACGTCATGTTTTTAATGCATTTCATCTTGCGTGCCTTTTGTATGTGAAATCAGGGTATGAGTCCCCGTTCACTACCACCGATACCACCATCGATACCACTGCTGAAACCACCAAACTGCAATTTGAGTAAGACATCGCAGGAAGAACACCACTTTTGTCAATCCAAACTTAATAGGTCTGTTGATATCACATGGGTTTCTCAAAACAATTCCCATAAAACACAGAATACCTCTACAATCTGGAATATAAGATGACGCAGGCCCTGTGACATCCTTGACGAGAGAGCGCTGATGTGTGGCACCCATCATTATCTGTAAACTCAATAGCGATGATGGACCTGAATTAATTTCCCCCGTGGTTCTGTTTGTCTGGCCGGTATCACTGCTTCATTCAATCTCAATCCTCTTCATTCTCGATATTTTATCAACGCATTTATCCACTTGGTTTTCTATCTTCCTCTCCTGCTTTCTTCCACTTCTGTGTGTGCATTGCCAAGTACAAGGCTCCTGTCTGGGCTCATTCTCGAAAATGTTCCACACCATTTGCCTAGAGCATCATTTTTCTATTTCTCAGGTCGTAATACTCCAATGTGTTGTACTTGCCATGGATCAATTCCCAGCTTCAGTTTTGTTGCCAGAAAAAAACACGTAAGATATCTAAACTGTTTTCTTGGACCCAGGGCTGCCCAGAATTTTATGAAGGCTTTTGGGGCTGGAGGCCTGGGGAATATAGCCAACCATGCTAATCGGAGGTGCGGGGGAATGACAACAAACGAAATACATTGAGCAGTTCCGGGGCCAATCTTACGCATTGTTTTATGTAAATACAGTGGTACCTCGGTATACATCGTTAAATCGTTCCAGAAGGTAGGAGGACTTATACCGGAAGTAACGAATACCAAACGAATTTTTCCCATAAGAAATCAAGGGAAAGGAAATAATCCGTTCCAAAGTATAAGAAATTATATTTTATATGGCATATTATACATTAATGGGGTTGTATAACATAATTTAGACACTACTTATTATTACTAAAATGCATACATACATTAAAATAAATGCATAAATAAATAAAAATAAATTGATATAAATTTCACCCCCTTTGCAACGTTAGCTAATTTGATGGCTTTTTTTTCACAATCGTTGAAATTGTTGTTCTCGGCATACGGTATGCCACCCCAAGATCAGTGACACGCATGCCGCTTTCATACTTTTCTATGATGTCTTTTTTCACGTCAACAGTGATCCTAACCATTCTCTTTGTTGCTTGGCTTTTCTCGCTGATCTTCTTAGGACCCATCTTGAATGAATTCGCCAAAAATTCACGTTAAAATTACACAAAAAACACGTGAAAATTCACAGAGAGTTATAGCAAGGGTTGTGCACTGAACGAGATCTACAGGCAGACTGAGGAGCGGCGCTTTGTTTCAGTCGTGAACGGGGTATAGGCGGGCACGCGGTGACTCATCCCGACCCATACGAGTTCTAGCAAGCGACTCGTATCCCAAGCAAGACGTCGTATCCCAAGACTTTTTTCTCGTCAAAACACGACGTATACCAAATTCGACGTATTCCAAAGCGGTCGTATACCGAGGTGTGACTATGTGTGTAAGGCTTTGGGCAAAATGCCTCCTCTGCCCTCTCTGGGCGACAATGCATGGAGCTCTTTGCTTGGGATATTGAGCTACTTATTAAGGATTTTACATGTGGGATAAAATACTCCAAAAATTACCACCGGTGGGTCAACACCCTACTTTCTGTACACCCATATTCTTGCCATGGCGTAGCTCTGTGGGAAGATGTGTTCTACACATGACGTTGTGTGCGTGATCCACCAACCGCACCCCAAATGTGATGGATAAAGATATGCCCTTACCATTCTAAGCTATCAAATATATATGTACTCATTGGGGCTTTCTTGAGTAATGACAAGTGTTATAAGTTTCATGATCATTATTAATGAATAGTAAAAAAAACTCAAATTCATCATAAACACTGTCTTTTGAGAAATAAATGAAAACAGGTGACGTTTTAAGCCATGAAAAAAGGCCATTAGTCGAAATGTCGCCTAATGTATATGTTTCCTTTGAGGCAGTGTCGATGGACAATGTGTTAAGCTTTTTCTAAATTGTGCTTGTGCACCACTACTGACGACGCAGCATCAGCAAATAATTTAAGTTGACTATTTAATATGCTGCTGCCTGTGGTGTTACGGTTAACAGGCTCGACTTACTAGCCACAGGTTCACCGGTTCCACGGTGGTAGGACATAATGACGCAGGTTTCTTTCATCCCCATTCGCCTCTGTGTCCCCCCCTCCCAGGATTATAAATAGGAAACACCGCACCCTAATCGATTGACCAGGTGATGTGTGCTGGGGTAAATTGTGGAACTTCCCCCAATTCTTTCAAGATATCTCCTGCCAGCTTGGAAGAAGAGTCAGCCTCCAATGTAGAGCTCCCTCTTCCACCAGTTGTGGTTTGAGCAAATCATTGCCGGGCTGCACCTTTACCTTTTATAAGTGAATACTGGGTCTGCTTTGCTCAGTTCGCCCCTGTTCTTTTTTATATTGCAGTTCCGGGTCATTTCCATTACATCATTGAAGATGTGCCAGATGCGGGCTTCATGCCGCTAATGCGCCACCTGGGTGTGGCGAATCACAAGATTGAAGAGATCGAGTACAACCATCCGCACGACCGGAATGAACAAAAGTACCAAATATTGAGTTCCTGGTTTAACTCTAAGGAATTCGACGTGGAATGGAGTGTCGTGTTGAAAGGGCTGCAGCATATGGGTGACTGGGAGTCCTACAACAGGCTTATGAAGAGGCTTGTGCAGGGGTCTCCAAGTGTGAGCATGACCGTGGTGGAATCCGCATTTTTGGACAACTGATGCTGCTGCGTGTATTGTACGTATCCGACGTACGGTTAGTTACGTACTCGTATGGTTAAAATATATGTTTTTGCATTACCAGTGATACGTGACAAAAACCGGTTTAAAACACAACTTGAGCACCTTGTTAACTGAGAAAGGAGGGGAGCTGCCGTGGTTGCAAGGTTAGCACACTTCACTCGCGATCTAGTGGCTAAAACAATCGGCCAGCTCCCGGTGTCGCAGTTAAAACAATGGGGGCAGTATCTTAATAACCCCCCATCACCTCTGTCCAGCCACGACTATGAATGGATACACCACAAATCTTAGATCAACAGGTCGTGTGTGTATAGGGTAAAGTGTGGGTATGCCCACTTCATCTAAACGTCTGGTCAGCATGAAAAAGTAGATAAACCACCCTCTAGAGGTCCCTCCAATGGTGGCGTGACCAAGCAAGCGACTAGTTGAAGGGCAGGTATACGATGATATGACCGAGACCACAGTGCCTTTTGTACATTAACGTGTTCTAATCAGTAAATTAATGAATAACGTTTTACTGGAATTGGTCACCGGTTCTTGATTTTCGGAACCGTTAATCAATAAACCGGTTGCCGGTTGACTGGTTATAGATTAACAACCCTCATAATTACCAGGCGTGTGGATCCTCAGGACGTTTTCTCGATTTTTGAATGAATAAAACAAATCCTGAAATTGGGCCTAGATATGATATTCGGGGTGACATTTTTGTTTTATTTGAGATATATATAAGGTATGCTTTCAGCTGAAACGATATCAAGCATATCACATCACTGCTGTGAATTTCCTGCCAAAAGTGGCATGTTTGGAAGAATTTCAACTCGAGCATTAAAAATATCGGGTTAGCTGCCACGCAATGGACGTTCTTCTTTGCAGGATTGTGAGTGGTAAAATTCTGCCCCCTTGTGTGGATAAGGGGTTACTTGGAAGAGTTATCAGCGGGTCTTTGATATAGGCTTCTGCCAACCAGTCTCGAAGGTGAAGTTGGCAACGTTTTCATTTGTGGATATCGAAGTTTTTAAGCAATTTGATACCCCCTGGAAGCTTGGGTGGATGTCAGTGATCCTGCCCGTGAATCGGAGGCGCGGCTAGTATCAGATCATGTGATTGACGATCTGGTTCCGTTGGCCACACGGTCACATGACGGACTATTTTTCAATTTTTGTTGATGAAGGAAGTGACCGCGTCTGCCACGTGCCGCTTTGCAGTGGTTTACGGCCGTCTGAGGAGAATTCCGCGTGGATTCTTTGTCTCATGACATAACTCCGGGTAGCACGATCGAGATAATCATTGGGGGGAAAAAAGACTCAAATATTTAAGGAAACATTCCAAAGCATCAAAGTTAAGTCTTGTACTCACAGCCAATTCTTCCAGACAAGTGTGTGCATTCCAATGTAGCTGTGTATAACTTGCTATTGAATGTATCTTTGATTCTATTGTAATTAACTTCCCAATCATGTTTTTGGCAAAACGATAGGTGAGTTACTTCTTGGGGAATCTTAAAAGTATCTTCATAGCATCCACATTATCTCTTTTCTATATAAGTGTGACGTATATAGCAAAGAGATTATTCCATTATTTATATTAAGCTGTCGACTATTTATTTTGGAAAATCTATTATACTTCCATCTTAACCCACCGAAGATGTGACATTTTTATATACAGCTCGGGGAGAATTGTTATTCTAAATGTGCCATCCCTTTTATATAGTTCTCATTCTATAAATGTCACGACATGAAAAACAAAAAAGTTGAAAATAACGGCACTGCATATTTATTACCGTCAGCCGGACCGTCAATTGACCCTGAAACAAATCAAAGGATCCAACCTGAGGTTACTTTCTACGTACGGACAAAAGCAAAACATGCTGCTCCTTGAAGAATGTGCCAATTGTGAGAACCCCTTAAGGTTAACACAGCCATCATGCAGGGCTCCTAACTGTGGTCGGTATCATACACGTGCTTTGCCACTCACGTGTCTCCTGTGTTGCCGATATGGAACACACCGCTGTACAGTACCGGATGAAGCTAGTGCGGGGCCTAGAGCATGTGTTATAAAGGGGCCCTAAATAAATAAATAAAACTGATTTTATAACTAATTTTTTACTTGCATGGTGAAGTAATTGTATTTTTAAATTTGCTATACAGCCAGATAATACGACAAATCGCTAACCCAGTCGTTCATAAAAGCTGAAGGCAGTATAGTACTATAGTAATAGAGTAAGTGCAGAATCACTGAACTGGAATTGATGGACGGCTAAAGTTTGGTTTGAGTCATAATAAGGTGTTAAGTCGGTTTTGACGTACACGTTCATTTCAGTTTTTGATATTTGGCAGTGTCCAGTTTTATTCCTTGCATTTTATTGGGGTTTCCCCGACCCCCCCCCCCCCCCCCCCCACTTATACATGGAATATCCGACTGCATTTTTTTTGTTCGGGGATGCACTGTTTACCCGTGACCTAACTGATGCTGATTGCGAGTGGCGCTTGCGCACTTCCATAATCGAACACGTGTCGGCAGCTTGACCCGAGGTACACACTAGCACACTGTTCACTGTGAAGGTCCTTGGTCTATGAAGTTTGCATAGATTTTTGTTTCATTGTATTGCTTAACCACTACTTTTCAAAGTGATACCGGAATCCAACCCTTTTGTCTGGCTGTGTGTAAACCACAGTCGTCAACTTCTTTCATATGGATCTGAATTGAGTAGCAACTATAAATCAATGCCGAGGTTGTGAATTCGCTGCTGGCTTCTGGGCATAGAGACGGAATCCCAATCGGGCCCTTGGAGAATGCTCGCATGGGACATGAGTTCGCGATGCGTTCCACTGGTTGTTGCAGTTCAGATACGAGGTAAGGCAACCTGCTTGTGAGGCATTTAAGCCTCTTGATGGCTGGATGTTGGGGGTGCCACGGTGGCGAGATGTTAACTACCTCACCTGGTATACAAGAGGTGGTGATCCGGCTTCCCCCCTCCACATTTATAAACATCCGTTTAGAGTATTTGGCTGCTATAAATTTCCACGTGATAAGTCACTTCGTTGATCTATCATTTGTGGCTAGGTCGCTTAAGAAAAATAGCTATATAGCTCAAGGGCCTTACCTAGTAAAATAAAAAAATAGTTTTGCTTTTAGTTTGATGGTCGTGGAATCAGTGATGAGCTGCTTACTCAGGATGACGTTTGCACTCCCCCAATTGTTCTTCCACTGGTCTCCCGTGCCGCTCAGCGTGCGGCCGAGTCTTTCTGCCGTGTTCCAGAATGGCTTTCTTGATTTAACGTGTATTATTGGGAGGTTTTTGAGGTCTCCTTAGATGGGCAGTTCTTTAAACCGCAGTAAATGAAATGTAAAGTCTTGCTGTCTTCCAATATAATCTCACATTCCAAATATGCCAGCCTGATCTCTTCTGGACTTCCGAGTCGAGCTCGAAACTTGAATCCATTTGTGAAATTGTGCACGTTACAAGTTGCCATTATTCAAATGCGAATTAATATATTTGATGCACTGTGTCTGATGATGAGTCGTAAACAAAAATAGGACCTGGACTGTAATCGTGTGTGATGATGATTTTGTACAGCCAATGAAGACCAAATGTAAGTGATTAATTTATAAGCGATTTAGCCATTCAGTTGCTTTCTCTGAGAGTTGGTGAACTTCAGGTACACTACCTTAACATTTTAATAAATGGGGCAGTGTGAAGATATATGGTCCATAACTTGTAAGGAGTGAAGTTTGGGGCTACCCCAGCTTAAATAATGTTTTACCAGCATTATGAATGTTGTGGTATTTGCAATATGCAAAGCTGTGTTTGCCCAAACCGTTGATTACTGTATAGATAGATTATATATATAAAATACTGAAAAAGTGTTACAGAATGTTTGAACATTTAGTCTTATGGTTACAGAATGTTTAAATGTACCACGCTCGAACAATGGTTATTAAAAGTTAATTACAATGTGATTATGTTATTATTAAACTGTTAAACTCGTTTTTATATTGTGGGCAAGTATTTCTCCGAGTCAATTCATTGCTGGGCAGCCTCTGAGACCTGTTCCACCACAAACAAAATAGTTTTTTGTACATCCATTTGTATTATTTTACATCTAACACTTGCCCTTCCTTGGCCAGTGTTTTAAAGCCGTATTTTTAAGCACGAATATCCTAGACTTGCTTTCAACGCTCAAGTTTAGTCAAGCACGGTGCTACCTACCCGTTAAATTCCACTGGGATTTGCCTGCCATTATAGGAGAAAAGCCTTACCGTTGTGTGCAGTAAAGCAAAACAATTCTAATTATTACGTAATTCCTGGTATACGGTAAAACAATGTTATGTTCCCTATGTATGAGTTTTCTCATGGTCAACATACTGTGTATATTTCCTGTTTATTTTGTTTAACTTTCCCAAAAATTGTGCTAATTATTTTGAGTTATATAATTTTGTGTCAAAATAGAACTCATTTCTTCGAGAGGGTCCTTGTCTATAAATATCGGGCAGTTCACCAACATTGCTTGGGCGTCGCGGTGGCAGGATGTGAACTCCCTCGCTTGGTATACAGGCCGTGGGTTCAATCCCGACCCCTGACTCCTGCTCTATATTTGGAGTTTGCACGTTCTCCCCGTAGTCACGAGGATTTTTCTCCGGGTCCTCCGGTTTTTCCCTCTACATTTAGAAACATGCTTTTCGAATATTTGGCTGCTATAACATTGATAAGCCACTTCGTTTGGGCCTGGCCACAAATGATAGCTCTTCTGAAAAAGATCCATATAGCTCAGTGGGCCTTTCCTGGTGAAAACAATACAGTTTAAATAGTTTTAAGCAAGTCCGACAGCTGATGAGACACTGTATGGGGAAAAAACTGAACTTGGATGTATTGAAGTAATACTGCTCAAATGTACGCACTCCCAGAGGGCTTTTTGGCATCATGGGGGGGACACGTGATGATGTTAGAGAGCGCTTGTTAAGGCCAGGAGGGGGCAGTGTGGCACAGAAACGAATACAACACGACAGAATCCGCTTTTTTTCTGTGTATTTGTAGTGTAATAGCGCCGGCTGGTGGCCGAGATCGTGAATATTGATAATAAAGAAGGTGCCTCCTCCAAAACTTGTCTCCGAATCACTGACACTCCATATTCATCGTCAACGGCCATGGTTAATCCACTGTTGGATGAAGGCTGCCTGAACGAAACCGGTTCTCAAAGACATTAAAGTTTATTAAGTACAATGCGATAAAAATGTATAAGTTGCTGATCTTTAATAGTAATTCCCTACCTTTTAGTTTATTTTGGTTGCAGGCATCATTTAAAGGTCTGCACAAAAATCAACGGTGTTGAAGGGGTCTGTAATACGCCAAATTGTGCAAGAGAGACTGCAATTGAGGTGTTTTTGATTGGAGCTGTATTAAGATGTCTGCAGCCAGAAAACACTGAAGTGGCATCACTGAATCCTACGTTCAAATCCAGCCTGGCCACCAATGCTTGCACAACCAATCACACTCGATTTGGGTCGTCGCTTAATTTGGGTACATTTCAGCTCTGAGATAAAAAAATATATATATTCGGTTTCACTGTCACGGGATAAACTTGACTCACACTGGCAGGGAGAGTAGGGGGTGTGCCGCCCCCTGCTGTGTGGAACAGAGGGCACTTGAAGTATAGTTCTGTGATCTATTGATTCCGTGGACCATTCGCTAACAAAGGGTTGTGTCGCCCTGCGAGAGATCCAAATGAATTTTTTTGTCTCATCACGTGACGCCGGTGACAATTGGTGTTAAATTAAATTGGGTGTGAAAAATCCGAAAAGCTGGACAAAATATATTTCCCATGATGTGAACATCATTTAAAAAATGGTGGTTGTTTAGTTCTTTATATAAAAAAATACAGACTGATTACCTCTTTCATTGTGGTACGTTTTGTGTATGAACAAAAACAATCTAAATTCATTTGCATTTGTTGTAATGCCTCGTACTTTTCCGATTGTGCCTTTGTGCTGACATTTCTTAACACGTTATATTGGCTTGAGCGCCATCATTCATTAGTCCCCAACTGATAAGCGGAGTCCAATTTAACAGCTGCCGCTCTTCATGCCCTTGTCTTTCATGGTGGCACATGTGAAGCTTTTCGCCTCATTAAAACTCACTGTCGTCCCAGAGTATGGCTACGAGTTCAACTAAACTATTTAAAAAAAACTTTTTATTTTCCCAGGGAAGGCCCACTGAGCTATCTATATACTGTAGCTGTTTTTCAGAAGCGACCTGGCCACAAATTATAGCTCAACGAAGTGGCTTATAATGTGGACATTTTGAGAAGCTTAATATTCTAAACGCATGTGGGGGGGAAATCCGGAGGAACTGAAGAAAAATCCACGCAACCACGGCGAGAACATGCAAACTCCAAACATACAGGACTCAGGGTCCGGATCTAACCCACGACCTCCTGTATACCAAGCGAGGTAGTTAACATCTCGCCACCACGGAGTTATTTTCCTGCTCCGATCTACCAACGATGTGCAACATGTGGGTAAGTCCATTAGCCTAAAGATACAGTGCTCCACTGACATTAAGATTAAAGTATTCAGAAGACAACATTTCATTCCAAAGCCAGAACATTGACAACGTTATTAATCTGAGTAATAGTCAAATTTCCGATGGTCTAAATTCGGTTTTGGCTAAAGGGATGAACTTCGCAGTCACTCCCAAACACATACTAGTGGGTGACATTATTTCCCAGGTCGATGTAGCTCTTAAGGGTTTGGGACACCGCTGCAGACGTGAAAAGTTCTGAAATCGCTGCAACCCTCAAAAGCGCTAAGATACCATTCAGCAACATCAGTAAGTACAGTGAGGGAAAAAAGTATTTGATCCCCTGCTGATTTTGTACGTTTGCCCACTGACAAAGAAATGATCAGTCTATAATTTTAATGGTAGGTTTATTTGAACAGTGAGAGACAGAATAACAACAACAAAATCCGGAAAAACGCATGTCAAAAATGTTATAAATTGATTTGCATTTTAATGAGGGAAATAAGTATTTGACCCCCTCTCAATCAGAAAGATTTCTGGCTCCCAGGTGTCTTTTATACAGGTAACGAGCTGAGATTAGGAGCACACTTTTAAAGGGAGTGCTCCTAATCTCAGCTCGTTACCTGTATAAAAGACACCTGTCCACAAAAGCAATCAATCAGATTCCAAACTCTCCACCGTGGCCAAGACCAAAGAACTCTCCAAGGATGTCAGGGACAAGATTGTAGAGCTACACAAGGCTGGAATGGGCTACAAGACAATTGCCAAGCAGCTTGGTGAGAAGGTGACGACAGTTGGTGCGATTATTCGCAAATGGAAGAAACACAAAAGAACTGTCAATCTCCCTCGTGATCATGAGAACGGTGAGGAATCAGCCCAGAACTACACGGGAGGATCTTGTCAATGATCTCAAGGCAGCTGGGACCATAGTCACCAAGAAAACAATTGGTAACACTATGCCATGAAGGACTGAAATCATGCAGCGCCCGCAAGGTCCCCCTGCTCAAGAAAGCACATATACATACCCGTCTGAAGTTTGCCAATAAACATCTGAATGATTCAGAGGACAACTGGGTGAAAGTGTTGTGGTCAGATGAGACCAAAATGGAGCTCTTTGGCATCAACTAAACTCGCCGTGTTTGGAGGAGGAGGAATGCTGCCTATGACCCCAAGAACACCATCCCCACCATCAAACATGGAGGTGGAAACATTATGCTTTGGGGGTGTTTTTCTGCTAAGGGGACAGGACAACTTCACTGCATCAAAGGGACGATGGACGGGGCCATGTACCGTCAACTCTTGGGTGAGAACCTCCTTCCCACAGCCAGGGCATTGAAAATGGGTCGTGGATGGGTATTTCAGCATGACAATGACCCAAAACACACGGCCAAGGCAACAAAGGAGTGGCTCAAGAAGAAGCACATTAAGGTCCTGGAGTGGCCTAGCCAGGCTCCAGACCTTAATCCCATAGAAAATCTGTGGAGGGAGCTGAAGGTTCGAGCTGCGAAACGTCAGCCTCGAAACCTTAATGACTTGGAAAAGATCTGCAGAGAGGAGTGGGACAAAATCCCTCCTGAGATGTGTGCAAACCTGGTGGCCAACTACAAGAAACGTCTGACCTCTGTGATTGCCAACAAGGTTTTTACCACCAAGCACTAAGTCATGTTTTGCAGAGGGGTCAAATACTTATTTCCCTCATTAAAATGCAAATCAATTTATAACATTTTTGACATGCGTTTTCCGGATTTTGTTGTTGTTATTCTGTCTCTCACTGTTCAAATAAACCTACCATTAAAATTATAGACTGATCATTTCTTTGTCAGTGGGCAAACGTACAAAATCAGCAGGGGATCAAATACTTTTTTCCCTCACTGTATGAGCGTTTTGAGTTATCTCAATTGAAACAGAGGGATGATTAGTCATCATGGGACCTCCTTTGCCAGTACCAAAATATGAGAATAGGTTTTCCCCTTTTTTATGGCAACAAAACAATCCGCAAAGCCATCACCCAACCGTGAGGAAGGAGCCATCTGAGGATCCAATGAAAACCATCACCTTGCCATACATAGCAGGGGTAACCAAACATATTTCCAAAATCATGAACAAACACAAGATCCAGGTTCGATTTAGCAAGGTACATAAAATTCGTGATCTGATCCCATCTGTGAAGGACAAGATTCCTGACACGCAATATCCCGACATCTACAAACTAAGCTGTATCTGCGGCAGCAGTTACATTGGGGAAACTAAGCGACATGTCTCGGGCCATGGTCGTGAGCATAAGGCAGATTTGAAACACGGTAGGACCAATACTTCTGCCGTGGCTGATCATTATTTTAATGCGGATGGCTCACACGAAATTGATTTCTCTAAGACGATGGTACTTTGCAAGCCTACTGGCTATCAACAAAGATTCGTTCATGAAGCCATCCATATATACAGACACAGACACATTTTCAACCGAGAGGATGGTTATGAACTCAGCAATCATTGGAAAGATGTCATCAACCACTTTGGGTCATGACTTGATTTGTGTTTTCTTGTCAACCTCCACCGTCAGCAGTGTGGGTGTGTGGAGCAAGGTGCAATGATTGCCTGGAGGAGGCCCTTTTAGTGGAGACCCACTAACTGCTTTGTTGTTTCCTACATGAACATTAGCTGCCTCACCCATGCTGCTGATACACTTGGGCTACGCCCATCTCTAAAGCTTTATAAACAGTTTGCCTTTAGAGGCTAACCCCCCTTTTCCTGATGACGATCACTTGTGTTGCGATCGAAACGTCGTGGTTTTTGTTTAAAAATTGTATTTGCTTTTTATTCTGTTTATTTTATTTTATTCAGGTTAGAACCAGGCTACGGTCTACATTAGAGACTGCCAGTACACGCACCAGCTTCAAAACCAGGCTACAGTCTACATTATATACTGCCAGTACACTCACCGAGGTTAACCAGGCTACAGTCTTCATGATAGACTGCCAGTACACTCACTCCGATTTAGAACCAGGCTACAGTCTACATGAGTGGTTTTAATATATTTGTATTCACTTTATTTTAATTATAATTTTTTCTATCTACATGACTTTAACGAAAGAACTAAAGAATATGAGTCTCCATGTCTCCCATCTCAACACCCTTGTTCAATATTCTATCACGCTTCCTTTGTAAGGTTTGGACTCGCCACTTTCACAGTTCCGTATGCAATCACCTTTTAGGAAGAAAGTAAGAGGGTCTTTAGAAATCACCAGGTACCGATGAAGTTATCTTTTCCCTGTATTTAAAGCGCCTGTCCTCAGCTCAATTGGTTTGAGCTTCAATTGAGAGACGTCGCCTCTGATAACACCAGGGGGCGGTCATGTCTATTTGTATGTTCCAACCTCCCTACACAATGCTCAGTTCCAATCGTTCTAACATCGCAACAATTAATAATTCATGAAGTTAATTCACTTTATGTACTGCCAACTCCTGGATACCTCGCCGCCAAGGTGGTTTGGGAGGTTCTACAAAAATATTTGCCTGATCCACCAACCCTTGATCCACCAAGCCTTCCGGATCACGGATAGTTAGTTCTATCTTAAGTACGACTTTCCACTGGATTGTGCGGTGATGATGACAATTTTCACGACTCATTTATACATACAGTGTACCCAAGCTCATTTAGTAATACAGTAATACTATTATAATAATATTTACAAGAAGCTCCGTTCAACTCGTTAATATTTATGCAAACCCCACACCCATCTCAGAAGTAAACATAAAACACCCCTCACCTGCTCATCTCTCTTACTGGACATCCGTGAAAAAGAGCTTTATAGCTCATCGGATTCCCCCAGCACTGTATCAATAAATATTCGGATTCTGATATGACTCCAGCAGAACACTGTCCTAATTAATGTTTTTCTTTAAACGTAAACCCACCACGCCCACCTACCCTTTGCGAATATGAACCAATGGGAGGCGAGGATTCCGCGGCCCTTTAAAGAGCGAGCGGATGACGCGAGAGCGGCACTCGCTGCTGAAGCGACGCAGGGAGCAGAACCCGAACCCCAGGAGCAGGCGGAGGAAACACGAACGTCAACCACCACCGCCACCAGCAGCAGCAGCAGAAGGTCACACAATGGCCATCCCGCCGACGTGCACGCGATTCTCGGACGAGTACACCTTGATGGAGGAGCTGGGCAAGTGAGTAAACCCGCATGAGAACAAGACTAAGATACCCCCCCCCCCCGCCGCACCCCCGACCGTGTAGACTTGATCAGACTGTTGGGTGGTTGGGGGGGCGAGTTGCTATGAGCGAGTAGCAAAAACCTTTGAAGGCACAGCGGTACACGAGGGGGTTTGCGGTGGAACAGCGCCACGCCCGGCCGCCTTTGTCTCGCCGAGTTCGACCGTGGCGAGACCCAGGACCGGTTCTGATAATCGGGAATCGAACTCGGGATCGCCGGGTTCGAAGCGCAGGCGCGCTAGCTGCTGCACTACTGCTCCTCGCACCCAGCTGCAAGCACGCACACACACCACGGATTGTGCTTGGATGGGCGACCACCGTGCATAACAGGTGTTATAGGATGCGTGCTTGGCAACGGAGCCGCAGTGCAGCGATATCCGTTGTTGTGAGCCGACTTTCTGTGCTTCCACGCTCACACTCCCCGCGTGCATCAGCCCAGTCACTTACCAGCGTGGTGAAGTATGGTCATGCACCTGAACAGCCCTTTGCTTATCCACTGCTGGTTGAAGCCACCTTCCCCCCATGCCGAATTGGTCGTGTTCGTTGTTTTAGCCGGGTTCATAATCGCAGTGCGATAACCACTCCGCCACCGTTCACCCCTTAACTTGAAAATAGATGACATTGTCGTGCCTCCACGTGCGTTTACGCAGACGGGGGACGGGGATTGTCGTCGTTCCGGTCTCCTCCACGTGCCTGTGCGTGTCTCTCTCTCTCTCTGTGCTTGCGTCTCTGTCTGTGCTTGCGTCTCTCTGCGCGCGCCTCACTCATGCCAGCAGTGTGACGCCCCCACGCCCATGAATCGGTCAGTACCGTTGCGAGTCATTCACCACCCGCGCGCACGACGTCCACAAAGCAGCACCGTGCCGGCTGCCACCCACCCACCACGCTCCGTTCCGGCTGCCACTGCGCTCCGTTCCGGCTGCCACCCACCCACCACGCTCCGTTCCGGCTGCCACCCACCCACCACGCTCCGTGCCGGCAGCCACCCACCCACCCACCACGCTCCGTGCCGGCTGCCACCCACCCACCCACCACGCTTCGTTTCGGCTGCCACCCACCCACCACGCTCCGTGCCGGCTGCCACCCACCCACCACGCTCCGTTTCGGCTGCCACCCACCTACCACGCTCCGTGCCGGCTGCCACCCACCCACCACGCTCCGTGCCGGCTGCCACCCACCCACCACGCTCTGTGCCGGCTGCCACTCACCCACCCACCACGCTTCGTGCCGGCTGCCACCCACCCACCCACCACGCTCCGTGTCGGCTGCCACTCACCCACCCACCACGCTCCGTGCCTGCTGCCACCCACCAACCACGCTCCGTGTCAGCTGCCACCCACCCACCCACCACGCTCACTCTCGCGGTCAACCCATCGCTTCTGCACGTGCCTATCTGCCTACCTTCTTGACTACCTAGCTGCCTGTCCTTCCTTCCTGCCTATGCTACCTTTGCACCTGCCTGCATACCAACCTCCTTACCGGCCTACCGGGTTACCTTATTGCGTACCAGGTTCCCTCCGCTAACAATCGATGGTGCGCTTGAACACGCACGCACACAGGGATGCCCTACCTGCCCTCGTATACCTACACTGCGTGTCGTATGTGTGTGCTTGGCCTCCTTGCTTCTCTCCCTGCGTGCCTGCTGTGCATTCCTCGTCCCTTTATCTGCCTTTATCTGCCTAGACCTGCCGGTTTCACCTGTTGACTGCCCGTTGATCACGTGCACACACACACATGCATACCTGTCCGCCACACCTTTCTTCCCCCCTTATCAACCTTTGTATCTGCAAACATTCCCATGTATCCTTGTCCTAGCCTGCTTTATCCGTCTTTCTCTGTTCACCTTCTTTATTCAGCCGTAGTAAACAAATAAATATATAACGGTGGCCTATATATATACAGGAAAGCCTCGGTGAGCTTTCAGATTAATTTTTCACGAGAGTCCTTGCTACATTGGAATGTTTGGCTAATTGTATTCGCGAGAGGTTTGGATTTGTGCGGGGAGGACGCCAACAAACCTGGAGGAAACCCCCGCTATGCATACAAATGACTAACTCTTAAATGCTCTGCACCGACGGCTTCAATAATCCACTGCTGTGCTGTATTACCATCTCTCCCGGCTACCTTGCAGCCCAGGCCAACAACCCCCTTGCCATTCACGGTCCTCCACGCCTTTTATCTTATCGACACAGCGGCTTTGGTTTGCTTGTGAGCTCAACGCTCGCCTTTGCCTGCCACACGTGCTTACATATACATACACAATGCGTGTGTATGTATATGTAAGCACGTGTGTGTGTGTGCATAGTGAATGTACGTGCGCTTATTCCGCGTACCTCTCCATTCTGCACACGGTGTAGTGGGGCTCGCTGCTCTCGTCACGGCGTGTGCCTGCACAAACGCCCTGCGTGTGCCCCAAACGAAAGCCACGAGCACCGCACGTCTTTTTGATCTTTGCCAAAATATCTGTCCCCCGTCCTTCCAAGTCTATCGACTGTATCTCATTCCACGATACATGGCGCCATGGTGGCGAGATGTTAACTCCCTCGCCTGGTACGCAGGAGGTCGTGGGTTCGATCCACGCCCGTGACACCTTTAAATTTGGAGTTTGCATGTTCTCCAACGTGGTCACGTGGATTTTTCTCTGGGTCTTCCAGTTTTTCTCTCCACATTTGGAATCGACATGTAGTTCGAGTATTTTGCTGCTTTAAATTTCCACAAGACGAGCCACTTTGTTGAGCTATCATCTGTGGCTGGGTTGCTTCTGAAAAAGAGCTATATAGCTCAGTGGGTCTTGCCTGGTAAAATACTTTTTAAGTTTACAAACGTCCCCTTCTCGATATATGTAAAAAATTCAAATATATTTATTTACCTCTCCGAATCGTTACCATCTTTGCCATGCTCGATCCACTGCTGGATGAAGGCCTCGAAAGCGGCCGCCACCTCTCGTGGTCTCGTGACGTGGCTGTGTAAACATCTTTTTTAAACTAAACGAACTTTTACCGTTTTGGAATTTTTCGCTTGCACTTGCATGCGGTGTGCATCACACGGATGGAGATTCGTTTTCATCAAAACACAAGTTTGGGGCTAGATCGAATGACTGTAAAATTGATCATCGCACATTCAATCGCTCGGTGCATACGGTTTGCACGATGCCCATAAATGGTGGAATTGTGATGTTTAACTGGTCAGAGAAACGGTGGGCGGGGGGGTGATGACTTGGTGACTGCAGTGCGTGGTATTGTACACAGGCGCGAGTTTGTCTCCCACATTCTCCATACGGCGCCAAAGAAGTTCAACATACATTTCTAGCCGCCGGTCTTGAATTTTTTCATTCACAACCGCTTTTGTTTTTTTTCCCTTTCCCAGGGGCGCCTTCTCCATCGTGCGCAAATGTGTGAAGGTCGCCACCGGTCAGGACTTTGCCGCCAAGATTATCAACACCAAGAAACTCTCCGCCCGAGGTGCAGCTGCGTGTGCGGGCATGCACGCGGGCATGCGCAAGCGAGTGTGCAAGCGTGTGTGCAAGCGTGTGTGTTTGGGATGTGCATGCAAAACAGGTAAAGGTGCAGCCCTACAATGTCCTTGCTCGCACCATTTGCTGGCGGAATGGCCTCCATCAGAGGGAGCCCCAAGAGAAGTCCCTCTGATGTAGGGTAGTTGGCCTGCTCTTCCACGCTAGGCAGGCAACTTTGAAGAGGTGACTACCCACCCTTTACCCCGCCACATGGCACATGCCGATCTACCAACTGCAGCTTGACCCATTAATACCGCTGAGTGGACAGAGGCGGAGAGGTTGTGAGAAACTTGGGCCATTATTTCAGCTGACATACCTGGCGATAAAATTGAACCTGCGGCCACTGGATTACAAGTCCAGTGTGCTAATCAATGCACCGCAGCAGAAGCTCCTGGGATGTGTATTCGTGCGCGTGTGTGGTTCCGTTATGAAAGTGATTGTCGCCCATACAACACTGCACCCTTGCCATTAGAGGATGTTTAACAGTGGTTTTGTGCAGAGGGGTCTGCTCTGGTAATTCCATGTATTTTTAAAATATATTTCCAGGTAAGGCCCACTGAGCGATATAGCTCGTTTCCAGAAGCGACCTGGCCACATATCAACGAAGTGGCTTATCATCACGTGCACATTTATAGCAACCGAATACTCTGAACGCACGATTCTAAATGTGGAGGGAAAAACCAGAGTACCCGGCGAAAAATCCATGCGATTTCGGGGAGAACATGCAAACTCCAAATATGCAGGCTTGAGGGTCTGGATTGAACCCACGACCTCCTCTATACAGGGTGAGGTAGTTAATATGGTGCCATCGTGGTGCTCTGCATGCACCAGCGGTCGTCTGCAGAAACGACACAGTAGCTCACATGCAAAGTGGATCGGGTGCGAGCAGCAGGTGTGATCGCTAGCCAACGACCATGTACCAGTGTTTCCTCTGCATCTAAGGCACGCAGCCAACATTGCATATCCTGTGATATATTTTGTAAGTGCACGATACTGCTGTGCATTGGTGTCGTATCCAGTTTTCTAAACTTCAGCATTTTTATTGCGGTTGAGGTGGACTACTTGTGTGCAGTGGTTAGCACACTTTATAGGAACCCAGCCAACTTTGTTCGATTGTGAGACTGTGTACAACATCCATGCTCGAGCGATATTTGAGCCCGCCATCGTTGTACTGTACTTCTACGCTCCCCACAATGACCAGGCTGGTGAAGTATGCTCAAAATAACTCCCGTGATTCGCACAGCGTGGGGAGGCTATCATCCAACAGTGGATTAACAAAGAGGCCGTCATGTTTTTGTGTATTATAGTAAACATGTTAAAAGGTTATTTTTATTTAATTCTGAAAGCCTCGTGTGGTAAAAGTTAATTTATTTCTCAGAAGCACTCCAAAAAGGACATTCGACCAACTCCCAATCATAACAACGATCCCCACTTAAATCCTGTTTTGCCAGGCCTTCTTTTGGAAGAGGAGGTAATGAATGTCAACGAGCTCCCGTGCATCGAGAGGGAGGACACTGAATTGGATTTAAACCAGCACAAATGCCGAGTGATGGACGTGTGTGTTTTATGCATGCGTGTGTGCGGTAATGTAGCGGGTCACGCGCTGCGCTAAGAACCCTGGTTGTCAGAGTTTGATTCCTGCTTACGGACCAATAACAGTGATAGCGAATATTCAAACCGGTCCTGGGCCTTCCCGAGGTCGACTCGGCCTCAACTGAGTATCTAGTGTAATGTGTAAACATCAGTGCTGGGGAGACAAAGGCGGCCGGGGCGGTCTTGGCCACCCACCCCCTCGTGTGCCTTGACGGCCTTCATCGGTGCTCGCAAACAGAACTTGCCCCAACAGTCTGTTGTCTTTGTTCTTGCACGGTGTGATCTAGACCTGGAGTAAAAGCATCTGGTAGCCAGAGTGCTGAGCCAACACCACTGAGATGCTGAGCTTTAAATCCAGGTTCCAGACACCTGTAATTAAAGCGCATTCTCAAGTGTAGTGAGTTGATGGTCTTAGGCAAATCATAAATGACTGCACATACAAAAAAAACCCCATCTGAATTTTTTTATGCACTTACATTTTTTTGGTTGCATACCAGTTTAGAATTTTTAAAATTCCTTTTCACTGCCTTGCAACTAACCTTACCACTATAAGGAGCGCCACAGTGGCAGGGTGTTAACTACCTCACCTGGTATACAGGAGGTCGTGGGTTCGATCCCGACCCTGACACCTGTATATTTGGAGTTTGCATGTTCTCCCCCTGATCGCGTGCATTTCTGTCTGGGGCCTCCACATTTAGAAACATTCATTTAGAGCATTTGGCTGCTATACATTTACACATGACAAGCCACCTCGTTGAATTGGCCAGGTCGCTTCTGAAAAAGAGCACTATAGCTCAGTGGGCCTTCTCTGGTAAAATAAAAAAAATAGTTTAGTTTAGTAATGCAGAGTGGGCGACCAAATTATCTGCGCTCGACCGTGTGGACCAAAAGGGATCTCGGGAGGTAGTTGTGACGTCCGCTTCTGTGTTGCACTGGCTCTGCGAGAGATCTGAACTGATCCATCATCGTGTGGCGTGCCGCCGCTGATAACGCAATCCGCATGAAAAAAAAAAGAAACCCCACCTGACAACGGTGCCGCAGCTTGCGCCTGCTCACGGCGCCCCCCCCACCGCTCGTGCAACCAGCGTCCTGCAATTGCACATCGAGGGGCAATTATTTCCACCAATTAATTGACAATTTGAACAAATTCATTGCTTTCTGAATAGCAGTTTATTGCCGGGGGTACCATTTGGCTCTGTTCTGCTGGTGGTGAGACGGTAAAACACACATCAATGAATGTACGGTGTTGTCCTTTCATTAGCCGACTAGAATCCCTTGTTTTTTTTGACACTCATTAATGCGTTCCTTGTGCAATGCAGACCTGGTAGAATGTGGTCACATGGATTGGCTGTCTTTAATATTTTATGACCTCACAGCTTTGTTGAAATACGTGCATCCTTGCAGCGGAGCGCACGCTGCAAGGATGGTTGATGACAACTGGAACAGCACCACGCAGACGTGTCCCTATTGCAGCAATTGAACCATCAGTTTTGTGCAAACTGGCCAAGGTTGCGATCGCCTCTGACCTCAGACCCACCCGACCACCCGACTAAACACGGCAGCACACGAATGCCTTGCCGGGGGATGATCGCCCATGCAAATGACGGTGGCGGATTGTCTCCAGGGCGGATTTGGGAGCTCGTAGCGGGGGGGGGGGGGGACGCGGCTGCACGGGAGGGCAAAGGGGGGTGGTACTTTTGCACCGCTGCGCAGCTGCGCGTGCATCACCGCACGCGTCTGCGCGTGCACGCGTTTGTGTCTGTGCATGCATGCATGCACGTGCGTGTGACTGTGGCGGTACAACACAGGCAGTGGAGGGAGTCTGCGCTCATGGGATGTTGCAGAGGGTGACTGCCGCACTGCAGAGGCTTCTTGGATTATAGGATTAGGCTGCCCGGGATAAAACTTGACGGCTAAACCCGGCGCGAGTTGCACGTCGCCCCCGCTGACTAAGAGAAGCAACAAATAAAAGCACCAATGTCAGCGGTTTTGAACAATGATACATTATTATTGTTCTATATATATATATTTTTTACCAGTAATTTGTCTCCTTCATCGCTGACACGAGCTACCTTTAGACAGCCCCAGGGCATTCATAAGGAAGTTATAACTAAGCAAAAAAATGTTATTTTACCAGGGTAAGGCCCAGTGAGCTATATAGCTCTTTTTCAGAAGCCGCCTGGCCGCAAATGAAAACTCAACGAAGTGGCTTATCACGTGGAAATTTCCAGCAGCCAACTACTCTTAAACACATGTTTCTAAATGTGGAGGGAAAAACCGGATAACCCAGAGAGAAATCCATGTGACTTCGGAGAGAAACATGCAAACTCCAATTATACAGATGTCAGGGTCGGGATCGAAGCCACGCCGCCTTCCTGCATACCAGGTGAGGCAGTTAACATCTCACCACCGCGGCACCCCAAGCGTGTTTGGGTGGGGGGTGCTGTGAGCAGCTTTCCAGAACGGAAGGGCGGGCGTCCCGTGCAGGAATGCTCCGATCACCGCTTGACTTTCCTTCGAGCGAGGTGGGCAAGGGCAGGGTCTGTCCACTGATCAACGCTCAGAGTTTGGAGAGAGTGGGCCTCTGTGCGTGTCTCTCTGCGGGGAGGTATAGTGCGGCGGTTCGTGCGCTGCGAAATGAACCCGGCGACCCGTGTTAGATTCCCGCCCGGTGATGGCTATCTGAACCGGTCCTGGGCCTTGCCTAGTTCAACTCGGCCTCAAATTAGTACCTGGTGCAGTGTGTAAACTTTGCCACTGGGGAGACAAAGGCGGTCGGGCGTGGTGCTGGCCACCCCACCCCCTCGGTGTACAGTGCCGACCTTCATAAAAGTTCTCGCGAACAGCACTTGCCCCACAATAGTCTGTTTAGACTACACGGGGGAGCTTCGTGTTGTCTCTGTACGGAGGGGAGAGTCTCTCTGTATGCGTATCTGTGGAGCGGTGCATAGCTGGGCTCGCATGGAGGCATGGAGGGGACGGGGTTAACCAAGAAAGGTCAGCTCATTGCAAATTATCAGAGATAATCACTCCAGGTGGCTAGAAATCCACTGAGGCAGTGCACAGGCGTGTAGCTGTTAATCTGCCCGCGGTGCTGAGGCGACCAGGGGGTTGGTGGATGCCCCCAGGATGGGAAACGTATTGTGGGCAATGCACCCTGCAGCAATATGCGCGTGGGATTCCATTTTAATTGGCCACTTTGTAGCGAGTGCGTCGGCCCAGCGATAAGACTGCGGCTACGACACAGCAGCCGAGCATAAGACTGCAGCAGCGCGAGGCTGGGACAGATGGACCGTTGCAGAGTCTCGCAAGAGAGACGTCTGCAGAGCCACTGAATGCAATCGCTTTCCAAAA